ACTACTACTACTACTACTACTACTACTACTACTACTACTACGACTGCTGCTACTACTACTACTGCTACTACTACTACTACTACTACTGCTGCTACTACTACTACTACTACTACTACTGCTACTACTTCTGTTACTACTACTTCTACGACTGCGGCTGCTACCAGTAACAGGAAAGGGGAGACGAGGTAGTCAGGAAGCGACTGTGGCCGACGAAGGAGGAGGAGGAGGAGGAGGTGGAGGACCACCACGATGAATAAGTGGAGTAAGGAGGGCGATCACGGGGAGGAGGATTGGGGAGCAGGGCAGGGGAGGTTTGCGATTAGGGGGCTCTGGGTGAGGAAAGCCCGCGCAGCGAAGGGCTCCTAGGACCAGCGGAGGCTTGAGCGGCAGGCGGAAGAACGGCGAGCGACACGCTAGACCGCCGTCGCTCTCTGGGAGCGACGCCCCAGGAAACCACGCTCTGAGAGAAAACTCTTGAACATCCTTGGGCTGTCAGGGGCTCTCTTGGCCCTCGTGAGCGTCGGAAGACATGCGGCCACGTGTGCATCCAGCTCAGTCCCCTCCCGCCCGCCCGCATGTTTGCCTGGCCTCTCAAGTCGTCTTTGACGCTCTTGAGATCCCCCACACACACACAACGACTATGCTCAAATCATGGTTTCGACACATCATACTTGGGACCCTCGTTGGGGCTTCTGGGTGGTCCCTCGATGGCCTCTGGGGGGTCTCGTTTCGGGCCTGCTGGAGACCGCTTGGGGGCTGGACCTCTTGGGGGCCTCGTGGGGCTCTGTTTGGGCCCTCAGGGGCCTCTTGGGGCTGCTGGCATCGTCTAGGATCTGTTCATGGCCTGTTGGGGGGCCCTTGCGGGCCTCTTGGGGGCCTCTTTAGGGCCTCTAGGAGGGCCTCTTAGGGCTCCCTTTCGTATGCTCTTTGATTTCTCCCAGGCGAACCCTCGTCGCGAGGGAACGTCTCCCCCCCCCCCTCCCCGCAACAAAGCCTGGCGGCTCGCTCGGGTCTTTGGGTGATTTTACCCGTCCGGGGGTCCTCTTCCTCCCGGAACCATCTGAAGGCTTCCTGGACCGTCCAGGGCCCTCGCAGTGCTATCTTGGATGTCTCATGAGACGCTCTGGGGGCTCTAGTGAACGATCTGGGGCCCATCTTGGGAGCCCTTCCACCCCCGGGAACCACCTCAAGCCTTCCCAAGGGCCCTCCAGGGAATGGTCTACTTTGCGCCTCCAGATAATGGTGAGGTGGGCCAGGGACCTGGCGCCGTGGAATCCGCACACTGAACAGAGACGACGCGCTGAAGCTGCGAGCAAGGGCTCCAAGGTCGACGGCGAGGAGAGACAAATTGCAGCACGGGCGCGTAAGCAGTAGCGTCGAACGGCGATAAGGGAACTCCAGCGTGACACAACGGCCTCAAGACGCAAAAGTGCCCAGACGAAGTAAAATCGCAAACAGCATCTCGAGTATGAAGCCGGCGGGGTGCCCCTCCACTCAGCGTGGCCAGTCCGCAAGTCTCTCAGCCTGTGGCAGGCAAGGCGAAAGTCGTGAAGAGAAGCACGCCCTGGCGCCGCGCAAAAGCCAATGGTTCAACCAGCCCGCCTGTCCTTACGCGCTCCGGCGAGCAGGGGATGGCTGTCGACACTTCGCTCCTCCCCCTCCTCCTCAATATGATTCCCCCTTTCTGCTCCGTCGTTTTCTTCTTCCTCTTCTTCTTCCTTTTCCCCCTCCCCCTTCTCCCATCCCCTTTTTTCTTCTCCGTTTCCTCCTTCTTCTTCATGTGCTTCTTATTATGTTTCTTATTATTGTAATGCTTCTTATTATGCTTCTTATGGTGATTGTTTTATGCTGATTCTTTCGATTATTACATTTACCGTTGTTCTTATTATTAGTATTATTATTATTACCATTATTATTATTATTCCCCATTCCTCTCTCTCCCCCTCGCCCCCCTCATCCCTCTCCCCCCTTCTCCGTCCTCCTCCCCCCCCTGTTCCGCCCTCGCGCCACGTCCTCGTCCCCACCCTCGTCACTGGCCTGGCCCAGCCGCACCTCTCCCGCCGCCGCACGCCCTGAGCGGGCGACCGGCTTTGTCGAGGACGCCCGGCGTGGCGAAAGCTGGCAGCGCTTGCGGGATCCGTCGTACTCCACGGCCACGCAGGGGGCCCACCGGACACACTGGGCCTCACCGGGGGCTGGCAGGTGCGGTCTGGAGGGAGGGCGGGAGGAGGCAAGGCAAGCAGTTCGATGGGGTCAGCGCTCGGCTCAGGGTCGGGCGCGGCGGGGTTTGATTTCAAGCATCACTGCAGGTGCCTGAGGGGGTAACTGCACGAAGGCACCCTCGCATTCAGGAGGGTCATCATTGAGCTTCTCCTGAGCGGGAGAAGGGTGAGGAGGTAATAGTCAGACGTTGATTGATACTGAGGCCACGAAGGCCGTGCAGCATTTGGAGGCGGCGTCGTCGCTCGCAGCAGAAACGATAGCAATCGACTCTGACACGCGCGTGGCATGCATTAGCGGCGTGCTACAACCCGAGGGCCCCCAGCCGCCAAAAAGCAGGGGCATCTGGCCAGCTTGAAGGGGATCTGAGCTGCGCCTGCAGCCCACATTTTGCTCCGAGCAATCATCTGGAGGGACCCAGGGACACACAAACAAATAGACACAAATCCCAGAATTCCCTTATACTTTCCCATATTTTCTGGATGTTCTTTTCCCCCCACTTCCCATATGTTCCAACATTTCTGTAAGTCGGCGATCATGTGTGGCTGTGTCAACCAGAATCGCCGCCGCCCTGGTCAACTTCTGCACAGGTGTCGCTAACACTTCGCCGCCTAAGATGCATGCACCGTGCGCACTTGCACTTGCCATCCTCGTCGAAGCTACCTACAGCTGAACGGCCGCATCGCGGAGACCAAAGATGGGGCGGCCTGGCACTCGTAGACAGACCCGACGTCGTTGAGGGAGAAGCTGGAGACACCGCTTTCATTGCATGCGCATGCGGATTTCGAGAATATCGGGCCATCTTTTTCATAACCCAAGTGATATCCGAGTGGGCTCAAGGCTAGGCAGATTCCAACCACGGCGGTAGCTACTCTAAAGAGCCTGCCCGTCAAAGACACTCTTTAAAGCAGATGCTCTGCGACCGCGTTGATGATGCAAAGTGTCATTGCGTTGCATGCGGATGATTCGACACATCCGAGCTGCAGTTCGCTTAGATGAACTGCGTCGCATTGCTGCACTGAACTTCCCAACTCACTTCAATGACAATGAGCTAAACACAGCACATGCCAAGACATCAACATGTCTGCGTACTCGAACGTGCACATGCAAACGTAGACCGTAGATCACACGCCAGCAAAGGTGCGAATCAACATGCAGCTCAGGGCAGTACTGTCTAGTGCGGTGCAGTGGAGTTCTGCGGAGCACAATACAGTACATACGCATCCGCGGATCCCGCTTACCAGGAGTGAAAAGACGTGTGAGACATTTGGTTGCCCCCCTCCCCCTTTCTGCCTCCCCTGGGGTCCAACATGCCGTTTGAGGGGGGCACGAGCTCGTCAACGCACCCTCTGGGCCTCTCGAGCCTCCGAAGCGCTCCAAGAGGGCTCAGACAGAGCGCCAAGATAATCGAAGCGAGCGTCGAAACGGCCCGAGTAGCCAGCCCCACGAGGACCCCAAATGATTACAAGACGGCCCACACGACCTCAAAGACGGCCCAAGAGTGTTCCAAGAGGACCGCCGCAGAGGCCCCAAGAGTGATAGCTTCTCAGACTGCCCAAGGGGCCCACAAAATCGTCACAAGACGGCCGATGAGGCCCCCAAGAGGGCCCCAAGACAGCCAAAGAGGGCTCCATGTGGCCCCAAGATGACCCAAGAGAGCCCCAAGAGGGCCCCAAGAGAGCCCAAGAAGAGAATACGAACTGATAGTTCAAGCCTTTCCCCCCATGATGGCCCGAAGAGCCCCTCAGAGGCCCCCGAGGCGCCCCCCAAAGCCAGATGATGCATGGAAAATGTTTTCAAATGCACCCAAGAGTCCTCTGAAAGGTCCCTCAGTGGCATCCCAAGAGACCTTCGTATCCATCCAAGAGGCTACTGACCCCCAGCCCAGGCACGGTGGCGGAATGTGCCGAAGGCCACTCGTCCCAAGCTCTGATCCGCCGCCCCTGTTGGCTTGCCACAGGGGTGCCTGGCGTGCTAAATTCTACACGGCTTGGTGTTGGTTCTTTTTCCAAAAGAACTCCCCCTGGGGCTTCGGTCCGGCGCGCCGCGGTGGCCGAATTTCGTCTCCCGTTGCCCAGATCGCCCCTAAGACGGCCAAGATGGCCCAAGATGGCCTCCAGGATGACTCCAAAACGCCTCCAAGACTGCCACGACGGCCCCAAGAGAGCCCACGATAGCCCCAAGATGCACTCAAGACGGCCCAAGATGCACCCAAGACGGCCCAAAATGGCTTCAAGATGTTCAAACATGGCCCAAGACGCTCCCAAGAGAGCCCCAGGAATAGGGACTCCAGGAAGGCCCGAAGAGGCCAACATCATTGATTTTCCTGAGGTGCTTGATTTCGTTTCGGCTTACCGACGGCCCGAGACGGCCCAAGAGGCCGCAGCGATCGCCCCACGATCGCCGAAGGGGCCTCCAAGAAGGCCCCAAAACGGCCCAAGAGGCCCCCAAGACGGCCCAAGAGGCCTCCAAGACGCCCAAGATGGTCTCCAAGATGGCCCTGGAGCACCCCAAGAGGGCCCCAATCCGGCCAAAAAAAGCCCCCAAGACGGCTTCCGACGGCGTCAGACTGGCCAGGAAAGCCCTAAGCCCCCGAGATGCCCCCGAAGGCCCCCAAGAGGCTCAACGAGGCCCCCAAGATGTCTCCAAGAGGCTCCCAGCAAGCTCCCAGGAGGTCCTAAGAGTGCCCCCAGAGGCTCCCACGTTGCCCCCTCCTCCCCCTCCTCCCCCTCCTCCTCCTCCTCCTCCTCCTCCTCGCACGTACCCAGAGAGGCGGCCGCGGTCCTTGACTCCGATCACCGCCGTCGGAGCTGGAACCGCACACCTTCCCGCACGTGTTCCCCGAAGGGTTTCCACAACGGCTGCGGGAAAAGATGGTCAGATAGCAATCAGAACTCTTGCCACAAAAAGGGCGTTCGAGTCCCGAGAATGGTGTCTTGGCACGCTTCAAGGTACTCAAACGATTGTCTCTCAACGGGGCACTTCCCTCAGTGGAAATGAATCTTCGTAGGGGCCTATGAAGAGGGAGCTTGGAGGGAAGTTTCATTCCAACATCATTGATGGGTCTTGGGTCTACATGGGTCCTCCTCCTCCTGCTCTTCTTCCTCCTCCTCCTCCTCCTCCTCCTCTGTTTGCTCGCCTTTCCATCGGCCGGAAACAAATGGCTGCGAGGAAACGTAAAGTGACCTGTGGCGCGCGGCTTTACAGTTTAGGGAGGGCGCGGAGGCAACACCCAAGCGCGCAAGCCGCTGCTGTCGCACCGCGCTCGTCGACCAGGGGGACCCCTGTGGGGCCGCACCGGAAGTCACTCTGGCGAAGGGTCACTCTTACGTGCGGCCGGTCCTCCTGCCCCTCCTCTTCCGACCACGGGGACCCCTGTAGGCCCGCACCAACGGTCACTCCAGCGAAGGGTCGCGCTTACGTGCGGCCGGTTCTCCTGCTCCTCCTCGATCCTCCTCCTCCTCCTCCTCCTCCTCCTCCTCCTCCTCCTCCTCCTGTTCCACCTCCTCCTCCTCCTCGCCCGAGCGCGCGCCTCTTCGAGCCAGCTGCACCGGCCGCGTCCTCGAAGATGCACGACCTGGGCAGCGGGGGAGAGCAGCGCCGGGGAGGGCGGCATGCAGGGGCAGGGGGAGGACCCCCTTGCCCTCCACTCCTCTCCCGCCGCCATTTTGAAGGGGCCCTGGGACACACAAATAAATACACACAAACAACAGGATTCACCATATTTTCTCATATTTTCTTGGTTTTCGTCTTCCCCCCCACTTCCCATATTTTCCCAAATGTTCTTGGGAATCGACGATAAATTGTGTCTGTGTGTTTTTTGTCCCTCCTAACATTTGTCCTCCTCCCGCTCGAATCCACCCGGTCCCCATGCGGAAGGCGCGCAGGAAAAAAACGAACGCGAACGGGAGCCCGAGAATGGTGGTCCGCGGTCGGAAAAGCAGGGCACCTTCAGACCCGCGGTGCCCAGAATAAAAAAATGGGGTCCACTTCCCTCCCGTCCTCATCAGGAGGAGGCAGAAAATGAAGAGGAGGAGGAAGAGGATTACAAAAAACAGAGAACGAGGAGGACGCATGGGGCCGACGAAGTTTGGAGGCGGATGAGGACGAGCTGGCGTTGCTGGAAGCTTCGCTCTAAGCTGAGAGGGCCGACCAGTCCAGGGGTCTATGTCCCCGAATGGGCCAAGGCTCCTACAGAACCTCCAAGCCTTTGCCACCTAGGAAAGAGGCGGATGAAGGGCCAGCAGAAGAAGCAGCAGCAACGGGAAGATGAGGACGAGGAAACTCATGAAGGGAGGTTGATCGTGGAAGAAGACGAGGGAGCGAAACAAGAAGAGGAAGACAGGAAGGAGGAGGAGGAAGACAGAAACAGGATGAAGAACGGGAGAGGACAGTGGATGATGATGGAGACAAAGATCGAATCCAGCCCGCTGAATTTCGCCTACTCAGCTCCTGACAAACATCTCACACAAAGGGGACATTCTGGGGGAGAACGAAGCGTGCATCATGGCGCAGCAAAGTAATATGGTGCTGAACGCTGAGAAAGCTAAATGGAGGATCCCATCGAGTCGGATAGATACAAAGCGCTTCGCGTGCAGATGATGCACGATTCTTCGCGTGTATATGGAACCTCGACGCATCGCGGTTCTGGAACTTATGTTTGCGTCTCTTCGGGTGGGGCCCCGTTCAAGATTGATCGCACTTGGCAGTCGACGCGGAGTTCGCCATCTCATACTGGAATTATGGAGGGCACGGCAAACAAAAAAGCCTGCAGGGCGCGATGGCGGTGACAGCAGCGCGGGTAGAAAAAACGCCAGTTTTTCTTCCGCGCCGCCGCAGATTATACGTCGCGGAAGCGACGCGGGCAAGTGGGGTTGCGCCGCCTTGAGCTCCGACAGCGGCCGTTCAAGCAAGCCACGCAGTCGCTCCCCCTCGGAGCATTTCTCGCAATCTCGGAGGGGGGGTGGGGGAACAAGCTTGCCCGCCACCGCCATGGCATATGCCTCACGGGTCGCTGTGCAGTGCAAAGGTATCAGCAGCTGGAAGCTCGAGCCACTGACGCAGCGCATTGTGAACGAGATCTGTAGCTGAAGATATCCAACGACCGCCATAGTGCATAGACATGAAGATACCTAGAACTGGAATCACGTTTCCGCGAGTCCAGCATCTCAGCACCAGAATGTCCTGGGCAGAAGGAAGCTGGACGATGCAGCTCGAGCAGGCCGTGCCAGAGCCGGTCCTGCCAGGACCAAAGGGTGACTGATGAAGGCTCACTCCAATGACTCGAAGAAGTCGGTCGCGGCCGATGGCGCCCTCGGCGCGGCAATCCGCGGCCGCGTCTTGGGCGCTGCGCAGCTGGTCGTTGTCAATGGCGCCAAGGCCGAGAGACTCTCTCAGCCAAACGATGTGTCTCAATGGCGTCTTCCGAGCAGGTGTCCCGAGATCCTTGCCGGGAGAAGGTTCGCACGCCGACCCAGCGTCAGTCGTCGGTGGCGCTCGGGCGCAGGGCCCGCCGCATTCCTGGATGCGTTTGAATTCAGATGGGGTCAGCGGCCCCTTGATGATCTCATGTGATGTTACGAATGCGAAGCGACATTCGTCGAGACTGCGAGCGGCGGCAACTGCGAGCTGGACCTGACCTGAAGGCGATAAGCTGCGCAGACGCTTTCGATGCGACGCGCGCCCCCCCCCCGCTGCTCGTGTTTGCGCGACGCAACAGGCGGCAACCTCGAAGGCCGTGGCCCCTGGTCTTGTCGCCCCCCTCACCAGTGAGCCCCCTGCACCCAGAGACGCTGCGCAGGTCTACAGTTTCATCGGGGGCCGTGGCCTGGTCGGTGATCTTCGGAGGCCACGGCAAAACCTCGCGGGCGAGGGCCTTCAGACGTCCGGCCTGCATGCTGGTTTCTGAATACATCGCAATGAAACAGCGCGCGCCAAAATTCTGAACTGTGCGAGAGCGGACTGGGCGCGCACCCCGAAGTCTACAAACAAGTCACTGACGACATCGCTGACCATTGCCTCTAGGTGAGCTCCGTTAAGATCGCGATGAGCGACGGATCGAAGCTGCATGCTAGATTCGCCCTGGTCCAGGACCACATCCCCATTCTCCGTCTGCGTAGCTCTCACCGCGCAGATCGCGCAGATGAGATTGTTCAACTCGCACTTACCGAATGCCTGCTCTACCTGCTTGACGCACGCACCACTGTGCGATTCATGCTCACACGTCGTGAGATGGTAGACGCGTTGAGCTGTGAGAAAGTCCTGCATGGCCTCGTTGGACATGGGCTTTAGGCCAACGTGCTCCGCGGCCTCTAGCTTCACGAGCTTCGCAGAAAAAAAAGTCGGGGAACATCGTTGGTGCCTGTGCTGGGTTTGAGACTTCTCAATCAGCGTCGTCATTCATCGCGATCCTCAAGCCCTGGCAACGCACGCAGCGTAGTAACATTGCTGGCGTCAGCCAGCTCTTCGCATGTAAGCCCCTTGAAGGAAGCCCTATCTACATCAAGGCTAGATGGAACCCAGCATTGACGGCATGCTGCTGCACTAGCCAACAGGCGCTGGGATGCACGTCGCGCCGTCCCCGAGGTCTCCACGGATTAAGCTTCTTGGTCAATGACGCCGCTGAGCGCAAGGCGAAGCCGCATTATGTTCCACACCATATTTCAGGGCCGGTCTTCGTGAACATCAAATTGCACGCGCATCCCGAGGCCATGCAGTTCTGGGCCTTGGACAACAGCTCCGTGGCGAAGCATCGCGAAGAGTGCTGAAGCCACCTGCTTGGCGTTTTGGGTGGCGTCTTGCTTCGCGAGTCGATCAGCCCCGCGAACTACTGCAGCGCGCTCGGCTTCAGCCAATCACCCAACGCAGAGACGCAGACAGTGGCAATCCCGCCTGGCCGCGGCGCTTCGAGTTGTGGTTCTTCAACCGCCACTTTGGCCATATCCTCGGTGATGCATAGTTCCGCGGATCGGCCATCATCGTCAGAAAATAAATCATAGCCGCATGTTTCATGAACATCAGAAATGCGAGCGACCATCGCGAGAACTGCAGAAGGACGCCAGTGTGAGAACATGAGGTCACTTTGTTCATTAGAACGAAGACCAATCAAGTATTGTGCACAGGTGGTGATCATGCTCATACGGCAAAGGGGCCATCTTGGTCAGCATCACAGGAGTTTGTGCGAAATGGAGGTCCGGAAGCTGTTCAGCTAGAGCCCATGATTCTGAACACATGTGCTCAATATCCATGAGGTCCTGGTACCTATCGTGTAAAGTCATGGCGTCTTCCTCTTGTTCGTCCTCGCCTTCGCCACTTGTAGATCGACGCCCATCTCCGCGTGCTGACGCCATTGGCGTTGCATTTCAGGATGGTTCGCGTTTCCGCGGTCTCCACCAACTCCAGGGCCGTCTGCTAGATCAGGAAATCGAGTGCGGTCCTCGTCGAAAGAGTGGATCTGGCGGGCCGCAATCATGCATTATATGATGCGAGCATGATTGCTGTCGGTGGTGTCATGGATATTGAGAGGCGCGTTGGTGGACTCGTAGAAGTGATCGCCAGGCTGGACACCGCTGTCGTAGTAGACTAATGTACTGCGATCCGCTCCTTCAAATCTCGCGAAAGAGGATGCTGCTCGGGCCATCCGTCCATGCTGTCGTCGCGCCGTCGCTCCCAGTCCACGCCGCTGACGACGCGCTGTAACGCTACGTGTACTTTCGGGGAAGGTTTGCGACCCAAAGACAATCGATAGACCTCCTCACGCCTAGACATGCACGCGACGGGCGCCATTCCCGCGGCAAGGGCGCACACATATGGTTATATATATATAACTATATATATGCGTGTATACATATATGAAAGAATGGCCCTCGTGGCCATGTTGTGCATGACCGATTCCCCGAACGCTAATATTTCAATACATAATGTCAGTTTCGCACCGGGAATATTCGGCCACATTGTCAATGCTCTTCTTTGCCCCCGGCGACGGTGCAAAAACCCCTCCATCCACCGCGGCCACTTTTGGAATTGGTTGGCCGGTGGTATATAATCTACCGAATCGCTGGCCCGAGGCACCCTGCCGCCGTCAGCCTTGTCCGAGGGCCCCGTTTTCCTTGGCTGCAGCGGTGGCCTGCGCGATGGCTTCCAGGGGGACTTCTCGCATGTGGGGCTCGCGTTCCTGACTGGTGAACTCGGGCTCGCCAAGAGCTGGCGCTTCAGAATCAGGCAGCGTGGAGGGGTGACTGCTGGCGCGCGCTCTGCATGGATAAAGGGCGCTGAATATCCGTTCTCAACGCTGTAAACTGCCCCTTGGCGTCGTCGCTGTCGAGGCGCCCCTCGCCGCCGCAATGTAATGCCATGGCCGCGCTGTTGTGCTTCACCCAGCAGCCGTCGCGCGCATCCAGGCGCGCGCCCTCGGACATGCCGGGAATCTCGCGGCCGCTAACGCGCCCCGCGCACCGTTCGGGTGGGGGGCGATGTGCTTCTGGTCGAAGAATAGGCAGCGATCGGGTTCTCCATTGAAGCGGCCAGGCTGAACGAGTGACGGCGCAGCGAAGGTGCGAGGACGTAGCCATGCTCGAC